AAAATATATACTTACTTTATATAAAGTCAAGTAGTCGGCTCAAAGGCCCATGTTTGTTATAAAACGTTTCCCAAACCCCGTGACCAATAGTCACGACAATACATAGGGTCCAACCCTAATATAACTTCTCCTTTCTAGAGTTCGGCTCAAGTACATCATCATGCACTCGCATCATAGATCTCCTACTTCATGTAATCATATCATAGATCTCCTACTTCATGTATTCACCCCATGGATCTCCTACTTCATGTATTCACACCATAGATCTCCTACTTCATACAATCACACCATAGATCTCCTACTTCATACAATCACACCATAGACCACTTACTCTATGAAATCACACTTGACACTTGAATCTTATTCAAGTTCATCACAAACAAACTCAACCTTTAAGTTTGATTCTATCAACATTTAGAACAATCTTTAACTAGCATCATAATACTATTAAGATTATTCCTACAACTCCTTTATCATTAATGGTAGCCCCTCCATATCAATAGATATGTGGCAGCCTCCCATGTGCTAAGCATCATCATGCAATCATACATTTACATACACATAACATTCATACATGAGTTGGAAGGTCAATTTACCATATTAGCATACTTTTATCTCACATAACTCCATATTCATCAATATGGTTTCAATTCATGATCAAGTCCATTACTTATCATTCATATCATGTTCAAGCATATTTATTCACAAAAACATGATTCAAGCATTTAGGTAATCTCATGCATAACCTACAAGTTGTAAGCAACTAGATGTCGGTCCTCACCTCAAATGAGCTTTAAAACTTTCCTTCTCGATCCAATGACCAAAGCCTCGGCCAAGGAAGATTGAGAACTGATTCCTTGCTTGGAATTGAGTGTTAAACAGCCTCTTCAAATTGCTAGTTCAACTCCTAACCGAAGACACAAAAACAGTCCCTAGAACGGGTGTTTCCCGACGAAATCGTTCCCTAACCTTTCAAGGTTTTGTCTAGATTAGTATCTAACTTTTTCAACAATTAAAGTCACTTTATAATAAAATTTTATACACTTAAATCAGTATATAATAGTTCTTCAATCATTTATATGGTTTAGACAATAGAGAGGAAGGTTTTGGATTCAAACTTACTTTGAATACAAAAACGTATTCTGCGAGGTCGTGTTTTGCTCGGTCGATTTGGAAGCCTTCCACTACTCGGTTTGATGCAAACCAGACCTTCACGGATTCCTCGTCTTGAGAGATTTCTGTTGGTATCTCGCACTCCTTATTTGGATGAGTAAATCTCGAGTTATGGCTCAAACAATCAGAGCTACGCACTGAAGAACGAACCTGCGGACTGCTCTCCTCCTTCCTTCTCTTGGGTTGTGTGGATTCCCTTGCTCTCTTATCTCTTTGGGGGTTCGAATGGGGTGTAGGGGTAGTGTATTAGGAGACCCTAAACATGCTAAAAGAGTATGTGGCTCACAAAAGAACATGAGAGATATTTGGTTTGCAATCAAATATGGGGGGGACCTCCCCCTTTTGTTTTCTCTTGGAGTTTTTGTGCATGTGAGCCAAGGGTCCGCCCCATATAGTCTTCTCACCTCTTTTCATTTGTTTTGCAGGTACTAAGTCCATGTGGAGTGGTTCCCAATTGATCCCATTCATCTTGGGGTCCAAAATACCTACCAATACTTCCAAAAATGGGAAGATGGGTCCTATTGTTTTATCTTTGTCAAAGATGTCTTTTTTGTACTCATCCTAATTTATTTAGAACAAGTCAACTTCCTAAATCACATTATTGATCTCCAATATGTGTAGGCTCATCTCAATAATTTACTTGATGGATATTATGGAAGGAAAATCCCACTCCCATTATTTAGCTCAATAAGGCCAAAGATGGGGTTATATGCATTTGTATTCTTCTTCAATCATTCTATCACTTTTTTGACATTTGTCATACATATCATTGGGCTGCTAGCCGTGTGGGTCACTCCCGAGTGGGTCTAGAACGCCATTCTCGAATACTTGCTATTTTTAGCAGGTTGGGCCCAAAATAATGTTTGGGCCGCCCGACCTTCCTCCAATTGTCTTGAAAGGTCATATATTACTATTTAGAAAATGTTGGGCTCCCTTATCTATTAATAAGTCCCAAATAGTATCTGTATGTCCGACACTAATATACGAGTTCGAACAGTACAATATTCGATCATTAATTACGTAAAACATTAATCGTTTTACAATTGTTTGGGAATCAGAAATCCAATACATAAACTTTGAATATTTAAATCAAATCTCCAAGGACATTCGGGTGCGGTGTCACATGTTTCCCCTTGCCTTTGTCTATTTTCGCATACTCCACAAAGTGTGCGGACTTAAGATGCCTTGTCAGACTCTCGTATCCGCCAGAAGCTCCCAAGCTATACTCTTTGTTGCAATGATTGCAACTTGCGTACCATTTATCGGTATTTTTGTCTTTCCTTTTTGTAAAATTGTTTTCAATAATAAGAGATTTAGATTTCTTACCAATTTGGGATGAAACCCCCTCGTCCTCCAACTCTTGCTCATCATTCGGGGTGCCGTCGCCCCCCGCCCTTCGTCCTCCTCCGCATCCTCATCCTCGAGCTCATCTTCGTCAATGGTTCTCGGGAATTGTTGTTCTTGTGAAAAGTGTGGATCATTTTGGGACAATAGGTTTTGTAGTTGCTCGTCGGACATCGCCATATCATCTCTCCGTTGGTAATCCGTTTCAAAATCATCTCGACTTTGAAAAGAAGACTCGGCCCGCGCTTTACCTTTGCCTTTGCGTGAAGTAGGACGAGTCGCCGCAATCTCCCTCTTGCGGTTGCGTTGGAGATTACTCATATCTACAGAATGTCTACCACGGTCCATCTTTAAAATTGAACAAATATTAAATGATATCAAATATTTTATATGAGTACCTATAGTAATAATAAAATGTGACTAAGAAAACTATAGCAAATTCGAACTAAAATATGAGTATATCAAATGTAACAATTTGTTTTCCTTGAAAAAAAAATTGAACTACTTCTAATTAATACTTTAATGAGAAATGTAGCAATTAACTAATATTAATATGAGAAATGTAACAATTAACTAGTTTAACTAATATTAATATGACAAATGTAACAATTAACTAGTTTTTTTTTACTTTAATGAGAAATGTAGCAATTAACTAATATTGATATGAGAAATGTAACAATTGACTAATTTAACTAATATTAATATGACAAATGTAAAAAATAACTAGTTTTTTTTTACTTTAATGAGAAATGTAGCAATTAACTAATATTAATATGAGAAATGTAACAATTAACTAGTTTAACTAATATTAATATGACAAATGTAAAAATTAACTACTTTTTTTTACTTTAATGAGAAATGTAACAATTAACTAATATTAATATGAGAAATGTAACAATTAACTAGTTTAACTAATATTAATATGACAAATGTAAAAATTAACTACTTTTTTTCTTTATTTAGAAATGTAGCAATTAACTAAGTAACTAGGTTAACTAATATTAAATGAAAAATGATATGTAACAAGTAACTAATTTTTTTTCTTTAAAGAGAAATGTAGAGAAATGTAACAATTAACTAATTTAATAGATAAATGAGAAGGCTAACAATTAACTACTTTTATAAAATGTATGAATGTGTATAAGTATATATAGTTTATATAATGTGTAAATGTATTATAAGTAATATATAATATAATGTTTATAGTATACTCCGTATAATATATAAGTATATTACTATAAGATGAGTAATACACTTATACTTCATACTTTAATATATATATATATATATATATATATATATATATATATATATATATATATATATATATATATATATATAGGGGAAAGATCAAGTACAAATTGTGCTTATTGTGCAAACATTTGTACGATGCACCTTAACGTCCTTTGTATTGCATATTGAGGTTCAAAGTAGTGCATATTATTCAGCCATAAAATAGCAGTTGCACATTAACATTCAACGAGTTGCACCCTAAAAAAGTTGGGTTTTATTACAAAAATGCCACCTTGTCTTTATGTCCTTTGGATCAACTCATCGGACGGTCAAGCTGAATTTGTACTTTGTAAATTAAGAAGGATTTGTATTTGATCTCTATTATATATATATATATATATATATATATAAGTATATATTAACTAAATGTAATATGTAAATATAAGTAAATAACAATAGTATGGATAATAACTAAATATCAAGTAAATATGAATGTGTATAAGTATATATAGTATATATAATGTGTAAACATATTATAAGTGTTGGGTAAATGGCCCCGAGCAGGGGTCCGGCCCAATTACCCCCAAACCGACGTACGTCGCCCAGCCCACGGATGGCCCTGGCCTGAAGGAGTGAGGACGAATGTCTATCTCCGGGATAACAGCACAAGGTCCCGGCCGAGGGTCGGTTAGCACATCCGTGACGAACGTCGTCAGCCGAGGCCCATCTCCGTAGATGGCCCAGGCCCAAAAGATTGTTACGTTCTCAGGAAGGGCCGCAGAGGAACGGCCCCCGGTTCTACCAGACGATTGTGGTCATCAATTAGGCGGGGAACCCAGATTCTGGCGGGAAGCGCATTTAATGCTGGAGATTTGGTGGTTGGGCCACAGCCACTAACAATCCTCCACATCATCAGGACTAACTGCCCATTGGCGGGTATAAATAGTAGCATTTATTTCATTGTAAAGGGTTGGCAACTTTCTATTCTTAGCATCTAGCTATTGTATTCTTACTCGGAGTATTTCTACTGCCTTGTAAGACGAACGGCCGACGTGCCCTTTTTAGCAAGTAGATTGTACTTAGGGGAGTTATTACGAAGTTAATAATACCTATTTACATTGCCTGCTATTACCTTTGTTTCCTGCTCCATCTCATAGTTGTTGGGCCAGACACTCATACACTCACTCCACTCGAAATCTTTGGGCTTACGTGTTGGGTCCAAGGGTTGAAGGAATAAACCTCAACACTGGCGCCGCACGCCGTATTTCAGACGATCCTTCGCCGGGACCTTCTCCAGGGCATGAGAGAACACGTCTCCAAAGGCCCCAGCGCAGAAATCCTTGGCCGAGTCCATGAACTCGCCAGTATTCCGGTAGCCGGAGGTATCGACGCACCATTCCGGGATAGCACCTTTGGGGGCCGGAAGCACCGGCATAAGCTTGAAGCCGGCCTTCTCCAGACAGGCCAGTTGGGCGCCAGTTTCAGCCCGAAGGGACCGAAGCTCCTCCCTGGCTGAGGCAGCCTCTTCTTCTGCCCGACGGGCGACCTCCCGAGCCTTCAATATGGCGGCATCAGCCTTGCTCCTCGCCTCCTGCAGGGCGGCCTCCCTGGCAGCCTCGGCTTGCAGCACCAACAGCCCTGACTGTAAGGAATGGGATGAACAGAAGTTAGATGACGAAACGACGGGCGTCAGGGAGACAAGATGAGTCGAATCGCGACAATACCTGGATGGCCGCTGCCAGAGCGGCGCTGGTCGCTTCAGAAGACGACCGGGGGGCCAGTTCGAGGCCGGCCTTGGCCCCAAGCTCCCTCCAAAGCTCTTCCGCCGGCCGGCTCAGGGAGAGACCGTTGGCATCTTCAACAACGGGGCCGGAGGAAGAGCAGTCTCGCCCCCTCTTCGGCTTCTTCTCTGGGGCCCTCTCGCCCCCCTTCTTGGGAACCACCTTCGTTGTGACGACCGGCGGGGGGAGAGCAGATTCAGCATGATGGGGTATGGCCCCCTCATTCAGGAGGGTGGCAATCAGATGCTGCTCACCATCTGCAGTCCGACGGGCGGCGTCAGAGGCAGACGATCCGGCACCATGGGCGGCGGCCTCCCTGGCCGCTTTGGCCGCAGCCATCTTCGCCTTCCTGTTCCTCAGGCACTCGGCGTTGTCCATTTGGTCGGCGGTAAGAGGAAGACCTGCAAGAGAGAAATACAAGAATGTGAAAAGACGAACAGGGATAGGGAGGAACACCCACCTCAGAGGACAGGACCGCCCATGCCCCGAGACGAGCGTCCAAGGGGGGAAGGAATCCAGGAACACGGGCGGTACCTATGCCTGCTTCAGAGAGTGCCTCGGGGGTCAGGTATTCTCCTATGGGGCGAATGCCGCCTTCCAGGACTTTGTTAACTTCCGCCTCCAGCTCGTCCGTCAGCACCGGCGACTCAATCTTCGGGGGGTAACCGTTCCAGCGGATTGGGAGGGGAGGACCATCATATCTAAGGAAGAAGAGCCTATTTTTCCAATCATGGATGGAGGAAGGATAGTGCTCGAACAGCTTCCTCTTCGGACGAGCGGCCACACTCAGATAACCGTCGGAATTCTGCGGGGTGACCCGGTAAAAGTAGTGAAACAGATCCAGGGATATATCGGCTTCCGCGGACGAGCAGCGCACGAGGAATGCGGAGATAAACCTATAAGAGTTGGGCATGAACTGCGCCGGGACCGCCTGGTAGCAGTTGAAGAACTCCACGTAAAAAGGGTGGAGGGGAAACCGCAGACCGGCCTCTACGGAGTCCACATGCAGGATGATCATCCCCGCCCGTCGCCGCATGGCATGTTCAGCCCCGCTATGGCTAAAGACGAACGGATGGGGGAAGAAGGAAGCAATCTTGTTCATGGCGACGCTAGAGAGGGATTGTCTGTGCTCTAAAACACTCTTAATCTTGCAGATGTGCCTCTGCACGTCCATGGGGATACCTAAATCGTGCACCTCCAGATCAGAGCCAGATTGAGCCTCATCTGCGGAATCATACCCGGCCGCACGTTCATTCAGAGGCACTGCCTCAATGGCACCTTCGGAAATGTCGGCGCCTTGCTCACCGTCGACATGGATGGTCCCTACGGTGGACGCCGAACCTGGGTTGCCGGAAATACTGGTTTTTCCGGAGGAACGGGAGCCAGAATTGGAGGAAGAATCAGAGCCGGAGCCCGAAGAACCAGAACTCGAACTTGAAGAGATCTCCATCGAAGTCATCACTAAAAGAAAGGGCAAGGATGAAGAGGAATAATTACCTTTAAAAAACTTGAAGATGGACTTGGGAAGCTGTGATGAAAAACCCGAAGAGCGGCAAGAGAACTCGAAAGCAAAAGCCAGAAATCGGAAACCCTAGACATCAGGGGATTTCTGGTATTTATAGTGGAGGCACCCCCGGGGGGACGAATGAAGAAGCGACACGTGGCGAGGAGCGTACCCTGGCGGGAATCCAACCTGGGGAAGCGATACGCGTAATGATGACTTCCCATCGGGAGTCGCACCGTTTCGCCGCCAGCCGCCACCTCGATTCACCCGCGGTCGCCCAACTCGGGGTGCCCTTCGATCAGGTACGTCCAGTTCCCCGTAGGCAAGTACGGAAGACGGGCATCCTCCAGGAGGCACAGCATACTTCCTTATGTCCCACGCACGCTTGGAACATCAGAAGTGGGGGACTTGTGTTGGGTAAATGGCCCCGAGCAGGGGTCCGGCCCAATTACCCCCAAACCGACGTACGTCGCCCAGCCCACGGATGGCCCTGGCCTGAAGGAGTGAGGACGAATGTCTATCTCCGGGATAACAGCACAAGGTCCCGGCCGAGGGTCGGTTAGCACATCCGTGACGAACGTCGTCAGCTGAGGCCCATCTCCGTAGATGGCCCAGGCCCAAAAGATTGTTACGTTCTCAGGAAGGGCCGCAGAGGAACGGCCCCCGGTTCTACCAGACGATCGTGGTCATCAATTAGGCGGGGAACCCAGATTCTGGCGGGAAGCGCATTTAATGCTGGAGATTTGGTGGTTGGGCCACAGCCACTAACAATCCTCCACATCATCAGGACTAACTGCCCATTGGCGGGTATAAATAGTAGCATTTATTTCATTGTAAAGGGTTGGCAACTTTCTATTCTTAGCATCTAGCTATTGTATTCTTACTCGGAGTATTTCTACTGCCTTGTAAGACGAACGGCCGACGTGCCCTTTTTAGCAAGTAGATTGTACTTAGGGGAGTTATTACGAAGTTAATAATACCTATTTACATTGCCTGCTATTACCTTTGTTTCCTGCTCCATCTCATAGTTGTTGGGCCAGACACTCATACACTCACTCCACTCGAAATCTTTGGGCTTACGTGTTGGGTCCAAGGGTTGAAGGAATAAACCTCAACAATAAGTAATATATAATATTATGTTTATAGTATATAATATATAAGTATATTACTATAAGATGAGTAATACACTTATACTTTAATATATATATATATATAAGTATATATTAACTAAATGTAATATGTAAATATAAGTAAATAACAATAGTATGGATAATAACTAAATATCAAGTAAATATGAATGTGTATAAGTATATATAATATATATAATGTGTAAAGAATTATAATATGAATGTGTATAAGTATATATAAGTATATATTTATAAGTAGATAATTAATATATAAGTAGATATAATAATTATATAAATTATATATATGTAGAAAGAATTTGGAGAAGATGAAGAATGAAGATGATTGAATATGAGAGACTGAGAGAATAGAGAATTAGAGAGTAGGAAGAGTTGTAGAAAATAGGAGTATAAATAGATTTGCTTGTATACCCCACCCCCACCCCACCCCACCCCCAAACCCCCCTCCTATGCCCCCAACGGCTATAGAGCCTTTAATTATTTAAAGAAAATTTTTTTAAAAAAAATATGACCGTTGAGGCCTGGACCGGGCCCGGGCCGGCCAGGCCGGTTCACTAATATGCAGGCCCGAGCCCGGACCGCTATCAGACCGGGTCGGGTGGCCCGAACCGGCACCCAGACCGGTTACCGGGCCGGGTACAAACTGTACCGGTCCGGGCCGGTTCCGGGCCGGTTGGCCCGACCCGAGTCCACTCCTAAATAGTAGTCAACTATGCATACACATTTTTAAAAATGCTACACTGTAAAATGAAATAAAAGATCCTTTAGCAAATGGTGAGAGAACTAAAATTATGCACACTATCATAAAAGTCGATTATAAGACTACTGTCTGGCAGGATATTGATGGCAATAGATATTGTGTGGAAAGACAGATCAAATGCCCAAGAGTTTTGTTGAACTCTAGGGGAAATGTACAGAGCAAGAATATGAAGGTAAACTATAAAGGCTGACATACAACAAAACATTATTTCACACAAGTTACTGAATTTTGAAGGATAAACAATAGATAACAATGATATATTGCATTTAGATGTTGGACATTATGCCAACATTGTTGCAGAACTTCATGCTTCCTAGTTCCTTCGTAGTATATGATAGAAAATACAAATGGAATGTTATCAAGTGCAATAAGAATTCAAAGCAGCTACAGCCACCAAACATGTGTCAGATTAAATATATTTATATTCCATCCATTAGAAATAAGAACAGACATTGGAAACAACAACAACAATAAGAAGAAGAATAGTATTAACAATTTATAAATATTATGGATGGAGCAATTCATGATTTAAAATTAAATAACACATCCTAAATGACGATCACTTGCGCCTTTGGGGAAGCAGCCTGCCCTCTCAATTGCTGATGGATTGTTTGTAATTTGCTTTGATCAAATGTTACATTATATGGTGGATTTTTCGACCACGTAGGCCCTTTGTAATCTTTTCTCTCCTCCCATTTTCCTCCTTTACTAGCACCAGTATACCACCTATAATCCCTGCATAACACCATCCTCTCAAGAGCCAAAGCATTTTTCAGGATATACAATACCAAAGCAACCTCATTCTCCAAACCAAGGAACCCACCAAATTCTACTTCTTTAAGATGAAGATGAAGATGATGATTTCTGAGAGATACTCTCTCTCCAATACGAAGATAGCATGGTTTTCTCCCCCTTCCCTGTAAACATGGAAACTCATCATCATTGCACGACAGTATTTGTATTTGTTTGCTGGAGAACTAAAACCAAACTGATTGTTTCCTGGAAAACAATCCAGATGTTCTCTTGCTTGTATGTATAAATATAATATAACAGCGTCCAACCCACAAAAAAAGAAAATAAAAGGAAAAAAGATGAATTGTTTCATAAAAAATGACTCCCGCTTTTTCAAAAGATGGAAGTCATTTTCGAGAATGTTGTACTAGTCTGCCAAACACAGGAAAATACAGAATGACTTCTATTCCTGGGAACAAACACTGAAATACCCAAGGTTTGGATATAGCTTAATGTTAGCAAATGCACTCTTCTGCAAAGGTTTATGCTTACAAGAGGAAGAGAGAAGTCTTGTTCTGCCAAAATTGATCCAGCTTATTTTAATAATATCAAATACTACGTATGAAGTTCCCAATAAAGGTGAATAAGCTAATATTACCCAGGTTCACCTCAATCCAACCAAAATATTAATTAAGAAAGAATACCCACTTCTCTTCATTATGGAAGGGGACTCACCACTAAATGCAATCTCTGAAGCAGTGGACAGCCCGTGATTAAAGCAGCAACTTGAGTCACATCAAACAACTCATTGAACTCCATTAGTATGTAAAGCTGCCTCATGTGACCAAATGTGGGCACCTCGCGCGGCAAACTATATGCACAAGCGCGGTTTCCAAACGACAAATCAAGATAAAGAGATTCAACCTGAGGACAATCATTTCCTACCCATCTAATGATGTCACACATATCTTCGGAGTGCATTACCGTGATGTTGACATGCTGGAGCTTGGGAGCATTGGTAGGGTGAGGAAACTTCATTGTTGAATCTATCCATAACTGAACTTCCAAGATTACAAGGTTTTCAGCACATAAAGATATCTCATTGACCCCCCCATGGCACCTATAAATGATTAATGATTTCAACTTCAGTTGTTTCCCTCCGCCAATGAACAGCTTAGAATGAAGACAGCAATACTCCAATGTTAGAGACTCAAGTTCCGGACATGATAACAACACGCCCTGCACATCAACTGATTCGAT